GCTATATTTTCGACGTATTCACCGCGATAAATTTCACGCTAACTCAACACTTGGCGCTGTTCGCAATTAGCGCGCGCTCCCCTCTTAATGCCGATTTTTCGTACTCCTCTCGCTGCACAGTCCATGTGAATATTTAGTTGGTTTTGGTTTTTTTTTTGGCACATAATAAAATGTCGACGCTAGAGCGAGACTATCGTGAACGGAAAAACTGCTTTCATCAACAGGTTAAATTAATGATAATCATCGTCGCAGCAGCTGTAAGCCGTTATATATATATATGGATATGTATGTATACATACGTATTTACGATATATAATGCGTTTTTGTTTCGGTTCCAACTATTTGCAAATGACGTCTCTTGTTAGTTTTATTTTGTTGTTATTTTATTTTGATTGCTGTAAGTGCTTTGTAATCAGGCACACGCTTATCAAATGCTGCTATTCAGCTGTTCTAGCTGATATATTGATTGACATAATAGCGCTTATACCAAAGGTGTGTGTATATATAGTGGATTGTGCTAGAATTAGGTTTGATTTTCAGTAAATGCATTTTGTATTCAAATAGGGTTTGTTGAATAATTCAAAGAAAAAAACTAACTTTTGGCTTAAATCTAAACTTTTTTAGGTTTAGTTTAGAATAAAGTAACATTAAATATATAATATTATTTTAAGTACTCCAGATATCAGAGTAGCTGAATTGATATTTGTAAGATATTTTCCAGATATTTCCCTTAGAATAATTCCCAGAAGAGCAACATAAATTGCTTATATTTTGGAGCGGGGTTTTTCTATAAAAAAAATCCCTTAAGTATTAATGGAGACGATTTATGTGCTTGTCTATTTAAATATAAATTAAAGTATATATGGTATATATATACTAAACTTGAACCCATTCGAACCCGTTTAACTATCTCCACCCACTGGTGCCATAATTCTTATTATTGACTTGTTCATTTATCAACGACAGCAAAATAATTTTGCTTTCAGGCAAATACTTTTAAGAAACAAATTTATTTACGGCTTTGAAATATATTTCTTAATTTTTTTTTTCTACCTGTCCTTAAGCTATATCTCACATTCTATTCATGTGCTTCTCCTCAAAGTCTTAATGATAAAATATATCACATCGTACATCATGCTTAATTAATTCCTGAATTAGATGCATAACAGGTTGTTGTTTAATTTAATATTTTTGTTTAATTTTTTTTTTATTGATATACTATATATCGTTGTAGTACTATTTATACTAATTTCTATATTTTACTGTGACAATATTTGCTTCCCATTTACTTTACTTAAACGCTTCATAATTGATGATGATTGCATTTCAATCAGCCAGTAGCATATTTTGTGTGCTGACTAAACCACAGAGACCACGCCAGCTAGACTCAGTTATATACACCACCTACACCCACACGTCAGCCAGAGCCCCATAGAGGAAAACAGTAATATCCATATAAATGCTAATTATCATACCGCGGTGATTAGATCGCGATTTGATAAGACTCTTTGTCGCAAGCAGCTAGACCACACTCTGCGTCAGTCGATTCCACAGGAATGTGCTCTTGATACTACAAACGTGAAATGTACCATATGTATAGCAGGGAGTATATTGATTGGATGATGAAGTATGTAACAGAGAGTAGGAAACCAGGCTCTGTTTGGTATATGAACGTTTGACATATATTTGATCTGCAAGAAGATCAACTGAATTATACCTTGATTTCAAAATAATATAATACATTGCTTTACATATATAACCATAATCGATTTTTGCTATAACTCGAAAAGTTTTGGTATTATAGACGTAAAATTTGATATGCTGATTATATGAAAGTATATAAAGTATGCAAATATTTCAATTTTTATACACCTCATTCATTTTCCTAGTTATATCAGTTTGTATATAGAGAATATCTCCAACTGCTTACTCGAATTCAAGGCACTCTCATCGTAGGGTATCTAGTAGTCGTACACTTCTGCAGCTTTAGCACTCCCTTTTATACTTGTTTTTAGCTAATCATTGATGTTAGGTACTCTTAGTCGTTATCGTACGACGACGTCGCTGTCGCAGTTACTGTCGCTGCTTCGGTCGCCGTCGCCGTCGCCGTTCTCTTATCGTCAAATTTGGCGGCCAGTAAAATGTGAATATTTCGTTTAGCTTAAAGAGTCCAACAGCAAAAAATACGAAGAAAAACTGAGAGGGTACAACAAAATTTGTGTATTTTTCAAAAAGTGTATACATATTTTGTTTTATTGGCGGCGTCAACGTCACAGCTGCTGCTGACGTTGGCTGCGCGGCGAGCGTGTAGCCGGCGTTGACGGCGCAGCCGTTTTTGGATTTTGAACGCCGCATTTTGTAAAAATCAGTTTTCGGTTCGAATTCAGTAAACAAAAACTTGTCGCCGGCGCGAGACACGACAAAGAGAATCAAAAAGCAAAAAGCAAAAAAAAAAAGTACTGAAATAAAAATTGTTGAACGAAAATTGTTGTTGCCGTTGCTGCTGTTGTTGTTCGTTGTTGTTGCTGCTGTTGTTCGAGTATTTGTTTAAACAATTTGCTATAATTCAAGTTGAACGTACGCGCCAAACAGAAGCAGCTACAAATAGATAGACAGATACAGCTACAGCTACAGATACAGATACGAATGCTAATATAGATACAGATACAGATACAAATACAAATACAGCTGAAGTCGCTCGCCCAGCAGCCGAACGATCGATGACGTGTGTTAATTGTGGCTGGGCTCGTATTGCGGCTGCTGTGCGACGCCCTGACCTTGTTACTGCCGTCTCGCACATGCGGGGAGAGCATCTGTATCTTTATCTTTATCTGTGTATCGGCGAGAGATACTTGCGCTTAGGCTGAGTCGCCACGTTGCGCCGCCATACAAACGCACACAGATACTCAATTTCTATCGGTGTCTACGCATATTTAAATATTGGCTAAAAATAGAAAAGAGAAAAACCAAAAAACAAGCAAAAAGAAAAACAAAAACCTAACGTAAACGCAACGCATTGTGGTATAAATTTTTAAGTTTGCTTTGGCTCTGTTTGGATCTATTAATTTTGCTGGTACTTCCACAATTTGTTTTGCATTCGGCACGTAAATATGTGGACAGCTCTGTAACGGCTCTTTGTTTATAAAAGTTAACAG